AGAGACGGCGGAAGGGAGGAGGGGGTGGAAGCGGCGGGATGGTGGAGAGGAAATGAATTAAAAACATCTAACGTACAAGGTATAATAAAGAGTGCCGGGATCTCGCGGATGTAACTTTCACAATTGGTTGGCACAAAGCACCGCTGACTGCTTCTCTTGTCATTTCGTACTCATTGCACGTACTCTCTCTCTCTCTCTCTCTCTCTCTCTCTCTCTCTCTCCTTCTCTCACGCGCACGGCAGTCTCGCGTGTGTAAGGCGGCGCGCATAAAGTGTCCATAAAAAATGGCAAAGCAAAAAAAAAACGAGACCAGCCTAATGTGATTTAAATTGGCCCACACCCACTCACTCACTCACTCACTCGCGAGAGCCCAATTTTCACGAGCCCCTTAACGACCAACGCTCGTTCCCAGCCTTTTAATAATATATCGGCCGATTACGTAGTCGCGCGGCGCTCCGGACAACGTTTCGGCGACTCCAGTCCTTCGTAAATACCAGCGCCCCCAAGGACTGTTATAATTATTGCCTGGGCTTTGGCGAACGGCCGAGCCTCCGCATTCTAAGGAACTCGAGTTCCGAACTTCGGTTCGCGAAGCCGCTGTCACATTTACGTGGGCACTTTCATAGCGCGAATCAATTTCCGAGGGGCTCGCAGCTTCACAACGAGAGGCTTGCGGACATTTACGTTTCATGGGAACTTTGCATAATTGAGATTTTGCCACTGTGCCCCAATCGGCGGGCAAAGTGCTCGCGACAAGTCCGGTAGCGCGGCCCCTCGGCTCAAAGCTTCAATTGGCTTCGTTAATGTTCAACCGAGTCCCTGGGCCTACGTCGCTCTGGCGAAAGGCGATTTCCGAGACTCCGCTCTTTCCCCTCCTCGTCCTCCTACTCCTCCTCTCCTCCTCCTCCTCCTTCGCCCGCCCGACCACCTCGACTTCTTTCTTCCGGTTACATTATCGACTCATTCTTCTTATCAGCTTGCTCTCTGCCGAACAGAGTGTACTTAATGCAGCGCTAATCCAGCTTATAATTGAGCGAATAAATATCCACCGCAGATTCGAGCAATTAGCGAAACTCGTAATAAGTTGGCCGCAGCTTGGCTTTTCCAGTTATCGCGATCGCGAACAAGCGCGTGCTTTCGCATATACCAAGTGTCGTGCGCAACGGTAAATGTCCGGCGCGTCATCTTTATGGGTTTTCGTGCAATAGGGTGCCATTGTCTGAAACGTTACCAACACCAACAAGTCGGAGGTAGCGCGAGAACGCCCGGGCTGAATGACATGGTCTGGTAGAGCCTGGCTGAATCCGTTGATCCGTCTCGACGGATGGGACTCTCGCATTCTTCCTCTGCCCCCTTTCCACCGCCCACACTGCGAGTACTTCGCCAAATGCAATAGATCATATTTACGAGTGGCGGGGAGGAGAAGGAGAATCCAGTCGCGAGGACGAGCTTCACCCCGGAGACGTTGATAGGGATGTGCCTGATCTTGAGCGATCCGACACTGGACGCAAGGGGCTGTGGAGGATCGCGCGCTATTCTACCTCGTTTCTTGCCCCGCGGTTTGTCACGCGACCAGGAGGCAGCTTGTACGAGAACGAGCCAAGATGCTTCTGCCTCTTCTCTGTCGAGGATCGTTTATGGGAATGAGGTTACCTTGCTTGAAATTACTATCCACTCTAGTACGAGAGAAAATTTGCATCGCGACTGCCCTACCGTCCGGATCTTTGACATCGCCTTGGAGCATTACGAAACTGATGCGTGGACCAGTGATCGATGGTCACGTCCTCTTAGGGCTACAAATTTCTCATCGAAAAATCTGTCTAATTAATTTTTTAACTTTACTGCACACAAACACACTGTATGTGTGTTTGTGCGCGCGTGAGTGAGTGTGTGTGTGTGTGTGCGTGCGTGTGCGTGCGTGTGCGTGCGTGTGTGTGTGTGTGAGGGTGGGGGGTGGAAGGAGTGTGACAAGGAACGAAAACCCGATAGTTTGGCTTTAATCTGTCAAGTTTGAACTCCGACATTGCAAAAATTCGTAATTTCCAAGCGATTTAATAAGTTGTACTTGAACTCAAAGATTCTGTACATCTTTATGTAAAACAGGATGAAAAATAAAACGTCATGTATAAGTTTAATTCTTTCTTATAATGCTTTCACATTTTTTCTCAGCAATACTTAGTCATACGTATTATGAATAACTGTAAACTGTTCTCTAATGAAATATTCTCTCTCGGCGTTTTATCATTTTTACAGTTTAAAAGGTAGTCATTCTACCATGATTAAACGTCAAGGAAGGAAAAAATGAATAAAATTATAAAACGAATAAACATCTTTCGAACTCGAAGAAAAGGCAAACCTAAAAACATCTTACGATGTTTTTGGATTTTAATATTTTTCATACATGTGTGAGCGTTTTATTTTAAGACCTTACCAATACACCGACACCCGCGGATTTGCTACATTCGCAGATATACAAAAAATATATTGACAAAGATTTTTATCGAAGTGATGCGGTATTAGATTTTTGAATGCTCAAGAACTCGCTTTACATACGCAAATGACTCTCAATTGGCTTTACACGTTGCCTATATAACTCTCCATTCATTTCTCTCCCTCTTCTCCCCCTTTCTATCTATCTATCCATCTATCTATCTATCTATCTATCTATCTATCTATCTATCTATGTGTCTATCTATCTATATATTTATCTATCTACCGCTAAAATATTAATAAATGATTTCAAAGATGATGCAGTATGCGGAGGCGCGTTGAGTAATTAATCGTTGGATAGATATAACCAAAACAACCCTGTAATTGGGTAAAAAGAAGTTCACGTAGCTACTATACTCTCGACGATCTTAAATGGCCCGCCTGCATACACACGTATCCTTAATTTATCGGGCTCTTTGCTCCTTGCGCTCCGCGCGGCTCACGTTCTGTTATCATTGCAAGTGTTGTGCGGCTGCGCTGCTTCGTTATAAGGTGAATGCTCGCGTTGTACACCACTGTTGCCGTACTCGATGCAATTAATCTCGCGATTAGGCGGCTGCGCGCGCGATGTGACGTCACGCTAGGCACGCCGAAATTCCCTCGACGTACTCTCCACTCTGTCGGACTTTTACACCCCAATTACGTCTATCGAATTATTAGCCGTGTAATTAAATGCCGCTGACGCGTACCAGCTCACAATGCCCCAACTCTCACCGTTTGAAAATCCTTCGGCTCGCCTATCCTCCCCGCAATTGATGATAAAGGCTGTTCCAGTCCGAGAGTGCACTCTCGTGTAGCTGATTAAGAGGTGGTGACGGGGTGAGGGTGGTGGCGGCGTTCAGGGAGCTACGAGAGGCGCGGGAGGAGCGGACGAAGAAGGCAAAGAGGTGGTAGCGTGTTATTTTTCATCGATAACGTTGTGTAAAGGGCTCGTCGTTGACGAAACTTGGACAGAAATTCGACGAATGACGACGCGTGAATCGATAGTGGGTGGGAATAATGGTATCTCGCTTCGTGGTCTCGACGATCACGAGTCATTTACGGTAGACGCGTAATGCCGCGCCAGAGCAAAAGTAAATGCGATCCTCCTCTCCGAAGCGACAATAGGTCGTCGATTACGCTTTACGTCCATTCGCTCGTCCCGCGCATTCCCCAGCATCCCTATCGACCATACGATCGTATCATTCTACATCTTGTTGAAAATGAAATCTTTCTAATCGTGAGAAAATGTTGTGCGACGAGGAGAGCTGGATGATTCACTTGAAGACGTTAGAGTACAATATGGCGGACGAGAAATTAATTTCAACAAATCAATGAAGGGATAATTAATAGCACGATATGCGTATTGTGTGTTCGGGAGGCTGAGCTAAATGGACGTGATCTCGTCGATCGTTTGCCCGAGTCATTAGTTTAATGAGGTAATCCTGCTGGCAAAACCAAAACCAGTTGCCTGGTTACCCGTCGCATCTCGGAGCCAAAGCGGATTAGCAGTTTGCTCGTAAATTTTATTTTCGGCTCGTCCGAGGAGGGGGCGTTTTTCTCGCGCCGATTCGTCGCGTTTTTCCCCGGCCAACTGCCCGCCACACCCCTCGCCCCACGGTTACGCCGCCGAGGTTTACGAGGCTCCGGGGCGGCTCACCTTCGCTACCTGCTAAAGCAAATATTTATGAAGCCGCTAAACACCGTCATCACTCATCCGGGGACTCGTTAACTCGCGCTCGGCGCCGCGACGCTTCTCTCCTCACCAGGACGCGGCCTCCCGACTTCCGATCTTTTTCACCGTGGCCGCCGGCTATTTTAGATCAGCACTCCGCACCTGTCGCTCCGTGTTCTCTATTGATCCGCCCGCGCGCGCGAGCGCACCAAAAATATCCTCCAGCCAATTTTACCTTTCTCCAGAGCCATTCCCGGCGACGCCCCTGCAATCCCCCGAGGGTTATTAAGTTTTTATCGAGGGCGCGCATTTGACTTCGGTCCGTGGGGCTCTTTTTCGCATTGGCGTTAGTCCCCGCAAATGGTGTCCGATAATTCTAGATTCCAACCTAGATAGATTAGAAATTCAACAGTTTATCGCCAATATTCGGCCGCCAACGTTACTTGAGAGCAAGGAACGATGCGATGATCCCGCCAAGCAGGGATCGATCATCGAGTACCGCAGTACCATGCCAATACGTGGCCGGCTCCACCTGTCGGCGCCCCGGTCAACTAGAGCTATTACCGACGCGCGACAGATCGGCTAAGAAGGAATGAGATATATATACATATATATATATATATAGAGAGAGAGAGAGAGAGAGAGAGCGAGTGAGTAAAAGCGTGGAACGGAACGTCGACCGGCCCCTCGACGCCCGCTTTACACGGCGCACCAACGGGTTTCCTGCCGTCAGGCGTCTCTCACTGCGCCACTCACCGTCACTCCCTCATGGTTTGTAATCACCATCCGATCGTTATACTGACCCGGACCGCTGCCCTCTCAACGCTCGGGGCTGATAAAACGTTGTAAAACTCACCCGCTGGCTAAACTCCGCACTGACTTTGGCGAGGTCGGCTAGGGGCTGGAATATGACGTCACGGAAGTCGGGATAATTACGGGCGAGAGGTCGGGCATAGAGTTCCTTGGCGCTGTAGAGGCACTCGCGGTACTCCTCCTCGGCATTGAAGAGCTTCTCCGTCGCCCTATATCGCCTGTCCGTATCTAGAGAAAAAAGCGAATCGATCGTTGAGGCAGCGCTCGACCCGACTGGGCTCTTCGCCGATTCGGCGGGTCTAGGACCTCGCGGCTCACCTCCGATGGGACTGTATTGGCGAGCCGAGTCCTCGATGAGGAGGATCTCGCCGTGAAGTAGCACGACGTCGGCGCCCGGATCGACCTCGGCCCTCGAACCGGCGAGCAGTAATCTCGGACGGCAGACTCGGTATTTCAGAAGCACTGGTCCAACCACAGAAGACACCAGACCCGGCGACACTGCGGCAAGCTGCAACAGGAATTTTCTTGGCTTATTACTTTGTTTACTATATTGCCACTTGTGTAGCGAGCGCACTGTCCCTTTCTCATCATTTTCAAATAATTCCTCATCCCGAAAGCCAAGATTACCTCGGCTGCGTCGGCGAGTATAATTTCACGAAACATGTCCCCTTAAACACCGTTTTATGTCGTTTGTGCGCGGGTTTCCCCGGACTTGCGCGAGCGATCGACGATTATAAAAATTTGCCGCATTATTAAGAAGAATGGCGGTAAGGGCGGTGGGAGGGACAGGGAGCGAGAGACAAGAAAAAGGAGAGGACATAAAAATGGCGACAGGACGTTGAGACTTTACTCAAAAGGCCGAAACGACTGGTAAGAAAATGCGCTTCGGCGCTGAAAAGAATATTAGCCTTGTATTTTACTTTTTTTCATTTATTTAAATTTTATATTATTTTATTTTATTTTATTTTATTTTTTCATATATACATATACCGTACATATTCACAACAACGAGAATTGATTTTCTCCTGCCTCAAGAGGAATCATTTCGCAAATAAATGAACATCGAGGATGAATGCACGGAAAGATAATATCTCCTGATGATAGGATATTGGATCTTATGAAGCCCATACGTTATGATATTATACGTGTAAAGCACGCTTCAAACGCGAAACTCTTTTACAAATCGGACAATGTATAATTAAAATTTTATGACACTTCTTCCATTAACTTGCAAAGCTATCATTAAAATATTTACCTGAAAACTTTTATAATTATATAGATTATTTTGTCAATAAGGAGAGCGAGTGAATTGGGATTTAGTGGATAGAAAAGAGGTAGGCACCTGGTGTGGCAGCTTCGCGATCGGATGCGCATCGTTATGTTGGCAGCGAATTCTTTTCACCCGATTGTCCGGGGCATTGTGACATAAACTTAAATAGCTCGCTTAAGGAAATGGCAGAGATCGAAACAGACGAAATTACAACAATCCAACACAATGTCTGCGCCTTCTTACTCTAGCTTTTCATCCGTTAATTAATGCACATCCAAGCAAGCCCAGCGCAACGAGGAGGCGAATGAGCAATTTCATTTATCCGCAATTATTAAGATTTTTAATTGAATATTATCGATGTGAAAGATTAGCGGGCAAATTTGTATAAATTATAGGCAAAGTGCCAGTTAATGGCATGTAATGAAATGCTCGCAGGATATATAAATTAAGCCACAAGGGCGTGTTATACCACGTTCTTAACTAACGCCGAGGAGAATTTATCTACGAATCGCGATTGAAGAAGATAGGCTGTTATAATACAATAAAATGCTTCGACATTTTCGAATGGAATACTTTGCAATACCGTGATTTGTGCTTTCCTTAACTTAGCTTAGCCGAATGCATTTTAAAGTCGTGAATACGACGTTGAGATGCGCGTAATAAGTAAATAATTTATAATCGGCTTGGCTGCGGTCGAATACTTTTTTCTTTTACGCTATTCTCTATGGTTATAATAGACGAGGGATTAACTTTTATTTTCATTTCAGGGTAAATGAGTACTTTCCACTCTCGAGCAGAATAATAAACAAACGTTCACAATGATTACATTCTATTTACATTTTTAAATAGTAAATTAAAATATTTTCAATAAATATCCTTCATCCGTTGCTATATTCTTGCCTCACACCGTGGCATAACCACTAGAATATTTTGTCATTAATACGTCCGTCGATGAAAATAAATGATGGCCTTTTATAGTAATAAATAATAAAAATATTACAGGCCACATTACACTTTATACATGCACATGCGAATATCTAATGTATTAGAGGCTGTGATGTGCATAATATAAGAATCGATAATCTTTATCTCGATAGCGATAATGTGTCTGCTATCCGAATTGAAAGGATATTGCATACGTCAATTTCCCTTGGGGTCGGAAATCCTTGCGCGCGCGTTTTTGGCCTAGTGATTACGAGCGGAATTGTAATTAAGTCATCTGAGCATAAAAACAAAAGAATGGCATATATCCTGGAGCAGCTGTTTGCCTTTGAAGGGTAAAGGTCCCTTTTTCTACTCGAGTGCTTAAAGAAACTCGGCAGCAAGATGCCGCGTCGTTGCACCAAAGACAAACGTAGACGGGGATATATGTATATATATATATATATATATATATATATATATAAAGCGAGAGAGTGAGAGAGAGAGAGAGAGAGATAGAGAGAGAATGAAAGAAAAGGTTGGGCCGTATTTCCGACAAAATCAATTTGGCTCGTAGCTGTTTCAGCCCTTCCACCACAAAGCACTCATGATGGAATGTCCTAATTACCCAACGGCTCTGAAGAAGAAGAAACGGATGCCTCAAAAATGGCGTCATTCCGAGGGTATGCGCTCTCGCCGCAAATTTAGCTTTAAAGCCCATTGTAACTTCACCTCACCTCGAAGCGCGGGACACGAGAGATACACAGTCCAGTAAAAATCAATGATGGAATTACAGTATTTAGCGATCACGAGCGAGGAACGCAATAATTGAAATTGTTAACGTTCGCTCGAAACGGATGGATGATCTTATGCAATATGTTAATCGCAGCATCCGTGTGAAGCTCGTATAGCGGGCCTGTTTTTCGTTTAAGCTGTCAGATACAGAGAAGAGGGTTTGAAGGATGTAAAGAAAAACCGCGATCGTGTTAAATCCCCACGTCGGATACACAGTCGAGCGCTTAGCGACCGTCGATAGGGCGACGGGCGACTCGAAAGGTGACACGACTGACGTGACGAGTGTGCCATGTACTTTGCCAAAAACACGCTGACTCGCTGATATCTCGAAATTATTACCTCGAGGTCCCCTAATGAGACCACACAGCGCTCGTGAGAGCTTCAACAGTCGCGAACATAACGCCGAATATCCAGTAGCCAAAGTTTGTCGCGACGAAGACGTTATATAAGAGTTAATTATCCTCTTGATAGTGCTAATAAATTGAGGACGGTGAGGGAGGACGGCACGTTTGTGAATAGAGGCCGCTCCCACAAATTTATGTCGTCTTTTAAGCTCGGCTAGATCAATCGATACGTCCACTTTGTTATAAGCACTCGCCAGAGGCGGAAGTATCCCAGCTAACAATGGATTCCTGGAAGAGACTTTTCAACTGTCTTAAATATTTATGAAAGACACAATAGCCGAACGACTCTGTTCGATCGTCTCTTAAGGCCTCTCTTATTATCTCTAATCTCGTCCATCACTTACGTTATAAATAATTTTATCGCTTATTATTATTATATCCGTTTATTACGAGGATTCATTTTTCAGCGATAATAATTTATGCGCACTAGTAACCCTTGCCGGGCTTAAATCGTCCTCAGCTTGAGGTCACTATTATCTCCGATCCGTTTCTTATCCGCTCGTGATAACTTCTATACACAAATTATTATCGTCGATGTGTGAGCGCGTTGTGCAAAATTATCGTTCCATATTTGTTCGTGGCGTGCCAAGGGGAAGGGGGAAATTTTTCGCTCGAACGACACCGCGCATATAATAATATTATTTATTTGTTCATAACTCAAAGCAAAGGGAACACGGTCGAGCCAGGGCCCCGCGATATCGGCAATTACTATCGCAAGCAAGCCACGCTGATTAAGCTATATTTACGCCATTCGTTTATTCCACGAGACTACCCATTGATATCGATAAGCCATTCTAAAATAAATAAATAAGCACGCGGAGAGATGAACTTGACAAATGAAGCGAAACAAAAAACAACAACAACAACAACAACAAATACGAAAAAAAACAAAAAACAAAAAACAAAAAAATATAAGCAAATAGATAAATAAATAAATAAATAGATAATAAAAGAACAATGAACAAGTTAATGACAATAGCGACGGTGCTAATGCCGATAAATAACACCAATTAATAATGGTGTCGCTGAGGCTCTACCCACTCTACCAAAACGCGCGTCTCCTCCGCCAAACAATGAATCCAACGATCCCCACCCCCACCCCCACCGCGCCTAACCTGTTGGCTCGCGAGGATCTTAATTGCGAAATGGGCGATAAGCCCGAGGTGTCCCTCGGCGTGTCATTGAGCGCGCGGGAAGTCGAGAACGAGGACGGGGCTCGCGTTCGCACAACTAATGCGCGCGAATGATAAGACTCAGTCCCGGGTGAAAAGCGCTCCATCCCCATACCCCAGCCCCGCTTACAGCTGTTGATCGTCCGCGGGCCGCGACGCACACGCCCACTCTCGATTTTAATGAAAGCCAAACCGGAATCGCGCGACTGAATCTAAATTGCATAATTATACCGGTTTTTCACGATATTATCGCCCGCAATCCCTTCCCTCATTTCTCTCTCACAAGCTCCCCCTCCCCCGCCCTTATACATCACCAATACCTCCCTCTCCATTCCTCAATACACCCCTATCCCATCTCAACAGACACACATCTGCCTACCTCCACCTACCACCACCTACCTCCACCTACCTCCACCTACCTCCACCTACCTCCACCTACCTACACCCAACCCAGCCACCCGCCACAAATCTCATTTGCTATATACATTTACGTCCTCACCATTCGCTCGCTCCACGCTTCCTCATCTCCGCTCGCGCGCACACTTTTTTCGACAATTAACTTTTTCATTTTTCTCTCGATCCCGACCAATTTATTCCAGTTAGCTTATTTATCGCCTCTTTGTTACTTATTAGTTATTGCCACTTAAAGTTTTATTCTTCTATTTTGTCCCATCCTGCCGTTCCTTCGTCAATTCGCCTTATAAGCCACCGGGATATATTACTGCTTTTGCAATTGAGAGGCGACTTGCGTAACCTGTCGCATTCTCCGGAACTTTTAAGTAGATAATACCAGCTGAGGAGCATCTCGTTAGTCAATTTCACAAAATGTCCTATCGAGCGCGGATTAATAGATGCCATTAACATCGAGAGAAAGTCAATTGATCATTGTGCTTAAAAACATTTTCATTATTCTGCCGATTTATGTAATGTAATGATGATTGTTAAA